TAATCATCCCATTGAAATACATCCACAATATGGGTAAAAAAAACTACACATCACAAGCAGTTGGTCAGATAACTCAGAGTTCCTTTTATTGAAGAGTTTAAAATTAGCTAATGTAAAACGTGGATGTTCTGGAACTATCAACATGCACATTTAGACCACAGTATGATTAAGCAACCTTTTTAATTATACAGTTTCTATACATCATCATAATCATCATCGCTTTCATACATCACGGCTTGGGAATCGTCATCGTTCTGGCACTGGCTGCTGCACTGACACATGTCAGTACAGGCTAAGTCCTTAGCTCTGCAGGAGCACCTCCCAGAAGAGCAGTCATATTTACACTTGCATTGAACCAACTCAAGGATGGCCTTTGGGGCTGGGAGGACCTCCGTGGTCACTGGTTTGAGCATCCCATCTGAGTGTTTGAAGTATCCGTTTTGCAGAGGATCCAGCGGTGGATCCTGCAGAGCAATGGCTGCCTGTGCCCATACTCTTGTTTGGACATGGACTCTCAAGATGTGCTGCTTCAGAGTTCCAAGTGTTGGAGGGAGCTTGTCACTTTCTGCCCTATGTTTGCAGAAGAGATGCCATCGCAGTTGAGGGATTGCCTTGATGTTGATCCCCTTGGGTGAGTAAGCTGCACAAGGATTCCAGGGCTGACAGCATTCCTTCTGTCACATCTGCTTCATCCAAAAGCATCTGCAGAGCTTTGACAATATCTTCATCTGCTTTGAGGTAGACCTGCAGCCAGGTTGCCTTGCCTATGCGGGAGAACCTTCCTGTGTTGTCAGCCCCAGTGAATGCATGGAAGGCTGGCAAAGCCTTTGCTCTTTCTTTACCTAGAGCTCGCCACAGTGGTTCAATCTGCACAACACTAGAGGCCATACAAATGGACGTGTTCTTCAACATGAGATCATAATTTGCTGTGATGAGCACTAAAACATCTGTATCTGGTGAGAAAAACACCAACTGTGCTTCATGTGGGTTTCTCTGTGAAGCCAGCACAGCCTGGTGGATCAGCAGTGTGTCTTCTTCTTCTTCAAAGAGAAGGTCTTTGTTGCTCCTAGTGAGCCCTGAAGCAGCTGTGATGATCAGCTTGGAGGATCCCTTGTTGTACTCCAGAGTTTTGGCAGCAAGATATTCAGTCAGATCACTCTTAGTTTTGTCATGGGAGAGGAACCTGCTCATTGGGATGCGTTTGATGCTGGTGTCATCTCTGACTTGATACTGAATAGAAGCTTTTCCTTGTCTTCGTTTATCTCTAGTTGCACTCTTCAGATAATCTGCCCTATATGTGTCAAACACGAGCATGATTTCATCATAATCTCGTGTTAGTTGCATCAGTCTGTCATTTAAGCAGCCACTCAGATCCTTGCCTGTCAATACAGTCGCTGTTTTTTTGCTCAGCTTCTGCACAAGCACCATACCGTACACCAGTGCTATCTTCCGACTTGGCTGATCAGTAGATGTGAGGTCTGTGAGTCCTGTATGCATTACATCTTGGTGAGTAGAACTTCCAACTTGAGGCAGCTGATGGTCTTCATGGGGCATGTCTTCTTTTGTCAGCTTCTCAAGTAGATGGATTAACTTGGACTTGTCATTGCATGGCAGAATTGTTCCATCAGGAGCGAACAGTGCTCTTGGTGTCAGAGTGAATTCATAGTTTCCTATGGCCTCTTTCTGGTTGATGTCTCGATTTGACCTAGCAAGTACCATCAGCCTTGCAAACAGGTCCTTGGTCTCTTTCAGATCCACAGTATTGTCTCTGAGTTTCACTGTAATCTTCTTGTTCCCAGACAGGAACATCTTGTTGTTCTCTTTCTTCACAGGGCCCCAGAGGCTGACATCTCCATTGATACGCTCTGACACATAGTCTTCATACAACTTCTGGCCAGTGACATCAGCATTCAAGATCTGTTGTACATACTCATCTGGGATGTAGGCTTGCGTGATCACATTGTGCAGGTTGTCACCTTCATTGGTAAAGGGGTTTCCATGGCTGAGTATGGCTGTCTTGATCTTGTCGATTGTATCATGTGCCCTCTTGACTGCATTTGGCCCAAGCTCATGATGCTCTGTGATTCTGTCAGCTTCCATGTCAAACTGACTCTTGAACTCTTTTGACATACGAGAAAGTTCTGGTGTGACCATGAAAAATCTCTGTCTGGCATTGGCATTGTTGGAGATGCCAATGATCCCAGAGCTAATCTTCATTAGCTTGTTCAGGTGTTCGCATGCATGGTCTGCCTCAACAGACACAAAGGGAATGACACTCTTGGTGACTGATATATTGCCTGCTCAAGGTGATTGGTCCTCAAGTCATGCATGTCTGTAAAACAATGTTCTTAAGGGATGACACTTCTGATATAGCAAGTCTGAGGAAGAGCCATTGGCTCGAAAAATCACTGCAAATAAAATCTTTCAACAGGAACTTTGCTACTTTGTTTGTGGATCACACTCAGCACGCATTCTAGTAGGTTAGCAATGTACATGTCTTTGTAATGAAAAGTTATTTCATATTCCAGCTGTTCTTCAAAAAATAAAGATTTTTTATATCACTCATTAAAACATGTAATATTTATTGTGGGAATGATTACAAAGATATTGCAAGAAAACAACCACACAGGGTAATTGTTTACTTACTTATGCATCTATGGCTTAATGTGGTAACATCTTGTAGCTTTTTAACTAGCACCATTGGATTCCTTGACCCTTACAGTGTGGGTTTATCAGTAAAAATCAACATTCCAGTTTATTCAGAAGTCGAGATATTACAATTTTAAATTTTACGGCGGCCATTTTTAAACTTCAATATGACATCTGAGCAAATGCAAACATTGATTTTATGACTCCTTATACAATAACCTTTCCAAAAATGTATAGTTTAGCAAATCCCCAAAAAATTCCCACAAAGGTTAAAATCAGAATATAACGAACCTGACTAAAATAGGGAAGCAAACAAAATAGGGTAACGAGGGAGGACAGGTGGAGCAAATGAGTCAATAATCAGGTAAGAAGATGGGTGGGGTTAGACAATCGACAGGAGAGCACATGGCACAAGGAAACATACTGTACATGACAAGCCATGTGCTCATACCAAACATGACTAAAACACGAGCACATGGCCAGGAAAACAAATCACCAGCCATGTGCTCACACATGAACACGCAGCTAATGAAACTCATAAGCCACGTGTTCACACGAAACATGACAACATGAAAGCACACAGTGTTAAACACAAGCTGTGTGCTAGTACAAGACAAAACATGAGTGTCAGGGCTCTGTCACAAAACCAAGAAATAGACTAGACAGAAGTGACAGAACTCTGACACACATTGCATATGCAAGATTGGTCAATGCGTTTCGAAGCTAAAGACAAGTTTTTTTAAAAACAGTATAAAAAACAAAGTCTCTTGCATTAAAACACCAGTATGCAACTGCCTATCATTGGTAAATGTTAGAAATGTTTAATATGGGCCCTTGAAAACTCTGTATGTTGAGGATTTGCAATACCATGACACTATTCTTGAAAGGTATACCCACATTTTTCGAATAATAAGATCACAGTAGCTTCATGGTTAAGGCATTCTGGAACTGAGTATCATCATGACTTACTGGTTTGCACTAAAATGGAAAAGTTATTTTCAGTAAAATAGCTGATATTGTTCTTATGGTAAAACGTTTTGGTGACTTTGGACTGGTTGGTTTTGTCGAGCATCTTCATTACTGTGCAAGAGAACAGAATATTTATGGTTTGTCAAGAGGATCTTCCTTTTTTCAGACCATTTGATTTACAAGCACCATATGGTTTTGAAGAACCATATTTGTATATTGTTCCAATGCATTGTTTTGTGCATGAAGATCTTTAATAATCTTGAACTAATTTCTGATTTGTTGTGGAGCACACAAGCTAAAACAGTTTTTCCATGAATATATTTACAAATTCAGTCAATTGAATTTATACTTGACTGCTTTTTGTTGCTTTCGGGCATGCTCATGCTTAGTGTAAGAAAGAAAGTTTAAGAATGTTTGTTTCAGGTCACCTCACGTTTATATGAGTTAGAGTTACAAACATCATTTGAACCATAAGTCATCTTTTTTATATTTAATATTTTGCAGTTTGTATACCGTTTTATATGCTCTTTTTCTGATTTGTCAGAACAGCAAAGTTTATGAAGTTGGAACAGATTTTATGAAATGTTTCTTGTTTTTTAAATTTAAATAGGAAATGCCTTGCTTTTATTTCTGAGAAGATTCCCTTTCAAAAAGCACATTTCATAAATAAAAAATCCAACAGAAGTGTGTGTGATTTACGTGTTAAAATGTACTCTGTGAGTAATTTACACAATTCACACTATCACACAGAACCCTTGAAACCACAAAAACACACTTACCTCAGCCCAAAAATAACTTCAACAGGAAACTTTACTTTGGTTGTGAACTCAAAGAGAAAACTCAAAGAGATCAATTAAAACTTACAATCTGGCTCCAACTTTTCAAATCAATAATTGAACCATTTGTTTTATATGGCAGTGAAGTGTGGGGTCCTCCTATAAAATTTGATTTCTTAAATTGAGAAAAACATCTGATTGAAACACTACATTTGGAATTCTATAAAAGAATTGTCAAAGTAAAAAAAAAAGTAAATTCTAAGTTCAGTAGTTTCATGACTGTTTCATGTTTCATGATTCATGACTATTTATTATTATTATTTATTTTATTATTATTTGTTATTATTATTTGCTATATCTAGCCATGTGTTTATATAATATTGTCTATTTTTATTTAGTTTTATTATTATTAGGCCTATTATTTTCTCTACATAGGCTTTACGAAATGTTCACATTTACTAAATCATTTTCTATGTTGTTTTAATGATTTGGCAATACAAAATGTCATGCCAATAAAGCTTTATGAATTGAATAGAGAGAGAGAGAGAGAGAGAGAGAGAGAGAGAGAGAGAGAGAGAGAGAGAGAGCGTGCACGCGAAAGATAAGCCCGTTTCTCGCGAGAGTTTTCCGTACGACGGTTACCTATAAACCCGATCACGAAGTTTAGCTCTTTGGCTGTGCTCAGCTGCTCAAAATGACACTGTTAAAGTGTCAGCATTGTATTGGAGAAGATAAAGCAGCAGAGGACACAGATCACGTGGAGGTTTGGTGTTATTCATGTTATACAGCAGCTGTTTTACCATTAAAGAGAAAAGCCTGAGTTTATGTGAGCTAACTTAGCTGGCTAACGTTAGCACAGCTGACTCGATTCATATATATTTACCTTTATCGTTAACACTACATTAACATTATATAGCTCTTTAGCCTATTAAAGTAAGTTAGTGTTTTAATGAAATAAAGTTTTGCTTACTATTATGAATCTTTATCATAGTTATAGAACAGTTATACCATTGTATAATAACCGTAGTTATTACCTTTAGGTAAAACCATGTGGCTCTTCAGTGCAATTGTTTTTTTTTTACAAACCGATATATGTTATGAAAAATAAACGTCTAAAGGTCTAAAAACACATGAAGAAACAATCACCACTTCTGCCATAGTCAAAATGTGACGCATTAAGTTCTTCTGCCAAAACACAATAACTTAGTTAATAAAGCTAAAGTTACTATAAGAAATACTTGGAAATAATATTATTTGGCATTGATTTCATTGTTAAGTGATTGTAAGAGCATTTCCCATCAAACTATCTATGTGAAGAAAAAAAAAAACCCTCCATAAAACACACATAATACATTGTAAAGTAGGCTATGTGATGGAAGTTTGCTGTACTGCATATAAGTTATGCTGATTTAAACACAAATTCGTTGAACTGCAATATTTCTTAAAAAACATGTTATTATAGTAATGATAATTCAATTTGAATCTTCATTAAGAACAATAAAAATGACAAAAAAACCTTCAAAAGTAAATTACAGTAATTAAATCTGAGGCAATAAATGTGTTTAATTGGCGTGAATATTTCACAATGCAATTCAAATTGAAGGTGACAGAGCAATACAATCTTGACCTGGACATGTTATTGTGAAATTAATTCAATGTGTTTTATTACCTGACACATTGTATTGCAGAAAATCTTGCCACCAGGGTACAGTCATCTGCTGTGTCGTCATGAACTGCTGGAAATGTCAGGGGATGTTGAAAACTTTCGAGCGGGTCTTAAATTGCAGCTGACTACAGAGGAGGAGGTCCAAAAGTGGCTGGAGGACTTCCAAAAGACCTCAGCTTTAACATGGAGGAAATCCAGGACATACCCTGATTCTGGACGCTACAACAAATACAGAGTAGGAACAACCTGTTATGTGTATGACAGAGCTTTAAAGGCAACCTGATATCAAAATTGAGTCTATACTTTCTTAAGATGTTCCTGTTCTTATTGAATGCAATTCATCAGAGTAATAACATTCTCTAAAATGATTAACGATGATGTAATAATGGTTACAGGATTAAAAGCAAAGAAGATGGGAAGAACACCCCCCCCCCCCCCCCCCCCAACCCAACCCCACCCCACCTGATTCCTGATGTTCAGTTTAAACATTGAACGTAAGGCCATTCTCTCAAAACTGCTTAAGTACTGTATTTTGTATACCAGGTGGATCTGAGATGCCAACACAAAACGTACAGTTCATCATCCAAGACATCCAAAAATACCAACTGCCCTGCTACCATGTTTCTGATTCTCAAGAGACATATGTATGAAAGAAAGTCCAGGTGAGATAAAAAAATAAGACCAAGGTGATGCACTACAAAACCACAAAATGTTTAACACCCAAACATTTGGTCAATTAGAAATTGAATTTTCAATAGGTCATACAATCTATTTCGAAACTGTGTTAAAACAAAATTCTATCTTATCTAATCTATCCTTCCACAGATCAGGAGACCCGCACATAGAAGAGGGCTATTTCCTTCATGTGAACTTGAGGAACGAACATAATCATAGACTGAACACTGCTGAGGTCATGAGGTGGAGAGATGTGTCTAATGACACCATTGAAAAGCTACATCAGCTCTACAGAACTGGTCACTCTCCTTCATCTGCACTCAAAAGCATTAAATACAATCTGCAGGAAGAGGAAGGTGATAACTACATTTACGCTATTGCAGATCGATCCATTTGCCCGGACCTTCAGTTCTGCTACAGGTCTGTCATTCAAGTGTGTTTGATAAACTATAGTAAAATCTATATTTAAAATGTGTTATGTAATGATAATGTAGTGAAGCGGTTTATGAGTCAGTAACAACAAAGAATTTTCATTATAACAATATCTCTAGTTCAAAACAATATTTGCATTCATGTTTATTTATGTTTTTTTTTAAATCCTAAATATTGTGATGTTTCTATAAGATGTTAAAATTTGACAAACTTAACTAACAGATACTTATTGACCTTGACACAGTCATGACAGCCTACAGGTATCCTCCCTGTGATACCATTTCCTCTTTTATGGCTTCGTACATGTTGGTCACACCACACTGACCTTAATTTGGTGGCCGAAGTTTTCAATATATTACTCTTTCTTTGAAAAATATTTTAATAAAACTTTTTTTTTTTACACCACTTTGACATTTGTGCCCCACAAATTGAAAACACGTTAATTGCAGAAGTGCATTAATTCTGTTTTATGTTAATATACATGTTGTTACTACTGAATACTGAGCCCTACTTTTTATTATATTTCACTACAGATTATACTACAAGCTTTTTCAAAAGTCATATGCTGAACCTGCAGGTAAGATGATTCTGGCAAACCTGCAGTGTCTAGAAAACAGTTTAGAGCAGTGCAGCGGCGATAGATTTATTGTGGCCATGTTAATGAAGTGGGTCACACAGGTGTAAGATGTTAGAGTGGACAGAAGAGTTTTGTAGATTAATCTGGCAGTTTTGATGTGTTTGTGTGCGTAATATATACAGTAGTCAACATTTGAAGTGGATCAAAACCTTTCATCAAAGTTATACATGAATTTTGATCAACTGGACAACTTTGATGAACTTTTTTGATCCACTTCAAATGTTGACTACTGTATTTTATTAATATTCAAAATTATACAACAAATAGTTGCAGTCCCAGATGCGAATCCATCTGTGCTAAAATACACCATATACAATCAGCTGTTACAAGGGTGCATGCTCGGACTGATGTTGAACTCAGTTGCAGGGTTTTATTTAAAAGTGATAAATAGGAAATAAACAAAGACAGTAGTGGATACAAGGAGGTAACGTTACAATCAAGCAATAAGGTATACGGATATATTGTGAATATACTCTTGTGTTTGGTAACAACAGCCTTTAGCAGTGACTACATTCACAATATAGCATGGCCTCTGATATTTTTTACAATATGTGTATAAATTGGATGGATACTTTAATTTGAAAAGTGCTACAAATATATTTAACATTTAAGTCATTTTAATCAAATCAAATGATATTAAATTACATGCAATTGCAGAAGATTTGTTATTAGTGTTGTTTAATCCCAGCATTTCTCTTGTGAAATATGGGTGTCTATTCAGAGAAGGACATTTCAGAAGAGCTTTTTAAACCATTAGAATTGGAACAGTCATGGGAGACGACAACAGTGACAGGTGAGTATGTCCCTGTTGAAATGAAACAAGACTATATCAATAATAGTTGTCTACAAAGAGATATAGAAATGATTTAACAACATTTTGCCCTTTCTCTAAAACAGATGGACACACTACATGCATTGAAGATGGGGTGTCTGTAACTACTCTACCAGTCATCACCACAGGTGAAACAACTCATCTTTTGTCACTTTGTTTGACTCAGTTCACATGTGTAGATATGAAACAGGTCAGCAATGCAAGAATTCATCTGTCACAGGGCTCCAGACTAACTTTTTTTACTAGGAGCGCTGTTGCCCCTGACTGAAAATTTTAGGAGCACAAGCAGAAAATTTAGGGGCACACCTTAAATCAGCTTGCAATGCAATTATTCAAATTTCCCCCAAAATAACTGTAATACTGACAAATTCTTTAATAATAAAGAGACTTAACGTACAGATATTGTTGGTAGCACTGGGGCTGACAATAAATCACTAAGCTTAATTTAGGGTGTAGATGAAATTAACTTTTGTTATTATTATCATTCATAATGTCTTAATATTAATTAAAAAACAAAAGGAGAGACAAAATGTATATTAAGGAGTGAACATAGCCAATAAACATCCTACTGTTTACAATGGTATTTTTTTTTTAAATAAGTGTTTAAATAAGAGTTATCCAACATCTTAAATTTTTTAGTTTTAGGACAGTCTTTGAAGGATGAACAAAAAATGTGTTGGTCATCACATAAAAAATAAATAAAAAAAAAGCATTTATATATGATATTATAGTTTTGAAGTGCTAGAAAAGATGTGTAGGCTGCGTTTGACTATTTCTGTCACATTATCATATTTATGGTTAGAGTTACTTACTACTACATTAGCCTAAATCCATGGTGAATGTTGCTTATTTGTGGACTGAAAGCCTTCTATAAGATTTTCTCCTGGTTTCCACGTCAGCACTGTTTGATCTAATATCTATGGTTTATAACAGAACTCTGCGCCGAATCGGAATGTTTCTCACTGGATCTCGTAGCGATGATGTTATTAATTCTGAGGCGAATTCAATGGATTTCTTCACTGGATCTCCTAGTAACAGTGTCGCGTGAGCGAGATCGGCCCGCGACTGGCAAGTTCGGGTCCTTATTTTACTGTCAATGGTTCGGGGCGCTGCTCCATTGATATACACTCACCGGCCACTTTATTAGGTACACCTGTCCAACTGCTCGTTAACACTTAATTTCTAAGCAGCCAATCACATGGCGGCAACTCAGTGCATTTAGGCATGTAGACATGGTCAAGACAATCTCCTGCAGTTCAAACCGAGCATCAGTATGGGGAAGAAAGTTGATTTGAGTGACTTTGAACGTGGCATGATTGTTGGTGCCAGAAGGGCTGGTCTGAGTATTTCAGAAACTGCTAATCTACTGGGATTTTCACGCACAACCATCTCTAGGGTTTACAGAGAATGGTCCGAAAAAGAAAAAACATCCAGTGAGCGGCAGTTCTGTGGGCGGAAATGCCTTGTTGATGCCAGAGGTCAGAGGAGAATGGCCAGACTGGTTCGAGCTGATAGAAGGGCAACAGTGACTGAAATAACCACTCGTTACAACCGAGGTATGCAGCAAAGCATTTGTGAAGCCACAACACGCACAACCTTGAGGCGGATGGGCTACAACAGCAGAAGACTCCACCGGGTACCACTCATCTCCACTACAAATAGGAAAAAGAGGCTACAATTTGCAAGAGCTCACCAAAATTGAACAGTTGAAGACTGGAAAAATGTTGCCTGGTCTGATGAGTCTCGATTTCTGTTGAGACATTCAGATGTTAGAGTCAGAATTTGGCGTAAACAGAATGAGAACATGGAACCATCATGCCTTGTTACCACTGTGCAGGCTGGTGGTGGTGGTGTAATGGTGTGGGGGATGTTTTCCTGGCACACTTTAGGCCCCTTAGTGCCAATTGGGCATCGTTTAAATGCCACGGCCTACCTGAGCATTGTTTCTGACCATGTCCATCCCTTTATGGCCACCATGTACCCATCCTCTGATGGCTACTTCCACCATGTCACAAAGCTCTAATCATTTCAAATTGGTTTCTTGAACATGACAATGAGTTCACTGTACTAAAATGGCCTCCACAGTCACCAGATCTCAACCCAATAGAGCATCTTTGGGATGTGGTGGAACGGGAGATTCGCATCATGGATGTGCAGCCGACAAATCTGCGGCAACTGTGTGATGCCATCATGTCAATATGGACCAAACTCCCTGAGGAATGCTTCCAGCACCTTGTTGAATCTATGCCACGAAGAATTGAGGCAGTTCTGAAGGCAAAAGGGGGTCCAACCCGTTACTAGCATGGGGTACCTAATAAAGTGGCCGGTGAGTGTACATAAGAAAGGCTATGCGCTGCCATAGGTGCGCTGCTCTGTCTATTATTGGTCCGGAATAATTAACGGTCCGTGAAGCATAAATGAGTAGCGTATTTTCGTTCCACTTTCATTTTGTTTGCATTCGCTGCTTGGTAACGAGTCGATAGATCGCTCATTGCTCAGACGCACATAGCAGCTTGTGATATTTGTCTCCGTCTCCTTCCCACAGACACGCGCGCTCTCTATTCTTGTCACACTCATTCATTCCGGATTCATTGACGCGCCCCTTCCACGCTTAACCATGCGTTTAACGTGAGGCAAATTTACTGGTCGCACATGTGCGACTGGATGTAAAATTCAGTCGCACACTCTCAAATTTTAGTCGCAAAATGCGACCACTTGGTCGCAGTCTGGAGCCCTGTGTCAATCTGTCCATCATGTAATGCTAAATAACTCCATTGCTATAGCAAGAAATTTCATGTTTATGATCAGTACATTTTCTTACATGCCAATGGCAAGTGTAGCAAAAAGTTCATTTTTGTCAGGTTTTCTGGAAGGAAGGACCCAAGAGCAGACAGATGTGTAGTCAACTTTACTGAGAAAGTTTAAACTAAAAAAACAGTGAGCCTCCTTACTCCAGGCCAATTCAAAATAGCCAGACAAAGACTGGTCAGCCAGGCGAGAGTCCAGCCAGGCGAGAGTCCAACCAGGAGTCCATCCGATCAGTTATCAAATCCAAATTTTAAGCAAATTTAGGTCAGAAATGGAGATTAAATGGGAATAACCGGACAAACCTAAAACAGAGTCAAGGGCAAGCACAGGTCAGACACAGGCCAGAAGGGCGAGCTGAACCAATCCAATCTCCAGAGCCAGGGATGTAAAGGTCAGCATCAGGATGGGCAGTCCGAGACCGCTGTGCTCTGGAGGAGACAGGCAACCACAGATCTAACTGAGCAGAGGACAATTTCGTGAGCAAGACAAGAAAATGGACTAATAGACTAGATCAACTGACAAAGACTAACAGGCAAGTGTGATACACTGGCAAAGAAACACAGAAATTATGAATTAGAAATGTGGATGTGAATGAGAATGTGGAGGTCAAAATTTGCTTATTTGTTTTGACTCTTTATGTGAGCTGTGTCTCAATGTTTTCTGAGATTAAGGGTGCTTTCACACCTGGATCGATTGGAGACGTTGTTCCGAAACAAAGGGGCGTTTCCCTTTTGGCCCGGTTCGTTTTGGTCATATGTGAACACAACAATCGCACTCTGAATCGGAACAAAATAACCGAGCCGAGACCGCCTAGAAGAGGTGGTCTCGGCTCGATTCCATACGAACCCTGGAGCGGTTCGTTTGTAGTGAGAACACAACCGACCCACGAACCGGAACAAATCAATAGGCAAGGTGGTCTCGTACCTTTATGTACTGCTGTCGGAGTTTTTTCGCCTTTGCGCGGCACTGCTCGACGGACCGTTCATAACCCCTCTCTTTCATTTTATAGCTGATCTTCTTGTACACTTCGGTGTTCTTGTATGTAGTGTCCAATATCCGGGAGATGTGTTCTTCCGACCAAATATCTATGAGGCATTTCACCTCTTCGTAGCACCAAGTCAACCCGCGATTCATTTTGTGTTAGGCTACTGTTGTCATGGCGATGTCCCACAATGGAATGCGCGACCTGAACGCATGAGGTAGTGACGAAAAGGCGTAAGGAAAGCCCTGGAAGGGTGCGCTATTTGTACCGCTTTACAACAGTGTGGTGTGAACAGAGTGACAAATTAAATTGATTCGGAACAAAGTATTCTGTTTCGGATCTGTTCCGGAACAAAACAAATCGATCCAGGTGTGAAAGCACCCTAAGATTTAATATGGAAGCAGACGTTTTGTTTATTTGTATGTCTTCTGTTTAGAAGGAGAAGATTTTTCAGAAGACAATGAGCCAGGCCCAAGTACGTATTTTCTTTTCTTAAAGGGTTAGTTCACCCAAAAATGAAAATTCTGTCAGTAATGACTCACCCTCATGTTGTTCCAACCCGTAAGACTTTCGTTCAACTTCGGAACACAAATTAAGATATTTTTGATTAAATCTGAGAGCTGTCTCACACCTCCATAGTGGCAGGTTGGAGGTAGGTTTCTATTGAAATTGAAACCTGCCGGCCCATAAACATTGTTAAAATAGTCCAAGTGACTACAGTGGCTCAACTTTAAGTTTATCAAGCGACGAGAATACTTTTTGTGCAAAAAAAAAAAAAAAAAAAAATTCTTAAACTTTTCTTCTTCTACTGTGTGGGCCTCTGAGTTCACGTAGTGTAACAGTGCAGCGCTGCGTCAGAACGTAGGCTCACTATTGGCCGACGCTGGTCATGAGTGTGATGCTGGCCAATAGTGAGCCTACGTTCTGACGCAGCGCTGCGCTGTTACACTATGTGAACTCAGTCAGGCACTGTAGACTATTTTTTTACTAACTTTCTGGGCTGGCAGGTTTCAATTACAATAGAAGCCTATGGAGGAGTGAGACAGCTCTCAGATTTAATAAAAAATATCTTAATTTGTGTTCCGAAGGTGAACGAAAGTCTTACGGGGTTGGAACAATATGAGGGTGAGTAATTACTGAAAGAATTTTAATTTTTGGGTGAACTAACCCTTAAACGCATTTTACATTAAAGGGATAGTTCAGTCAAAAATTCTGTCATCATTTACTCACCCTCAGGTTGTTCCAAACCTGTATGAGTTTCTTTTTTTCTGTTGAACATAAAAGACGATATTTTGAACTTGAAGAATGTTAGTAACCAGACAGTTGACGGTTACGCCAGCCATTGACTTCCATAGTAGGAAAAAAATACTATGGAAGTCAATGGTTACTGTCAACTGTCTGGTTACTAACACTCTTCAAAATATTTTCTTTACTGTTCAACAGAAGAACGAAACTCATACAGGTTAGGGACAACATAAGATTAAATGATGGCAAACAAATGTTTTGGGGGGTGAACTATCCCTTTAATAAGACTAATCCTGTTAACAGACAACACAGTCATTATCATTGTATCTATCTGTTAAGGTGGAGCTGAAGAGGTCGTCGGGTCTTTGGATGGACAGCTCGAGGAGATTTTTGGGATGCTAAAAAAGAAGCTAAACGAGGATGCAAGTTTTACACCACCTATAAGAGCGTTTGTGTCCAATTTCTTTCAAATAAAGACTGACAGTGCTCTGCAGTCATCACTTTTTTGTTTTGGTAAGGCCACTCAGACAATCAATCAGATCAGTGTACAACCTGCTGCAGGTCCACGGAGGAAAGGGGCTCTGGCTGGACGTAGAGCTGTTGGCAGACCCCCAAAGAGCTCAAGAAGAGAGCACCCATACTGCAACAGCAGATCCAACAACACTCCCCAAACTCTCACATTCTGTTTGCAGGAAAACAACACCCTTGAGAAGACAGTCCCCAACACACCACCACCAGCTTTTGGTGTGTGTGAAGGTCCAACTACTGTCTAGAGGATATTAAATTAATAAGCCTTAAGAAGCTGGGCTTTACAGTGAACATCATGAAATCATCTACTTTATATCTCTGGTCTTCTTGTGCACAATTCAACAGTGCATGTTGTTCTAGAAGAGGAAATGTTTGTTTGTATATTTAATTACAATGTAACGACTTATTGACTTTGTTCTGATGTGTGGGTATGAAACACACTTTTCACCATGCAGGTAATTCACTATGGATAAAATCAAGTTCCACCCTACTTTTTTTTTTTTCTCATTGAATGTTTAACTCTGCAGTGTCACATTATGGAAGTAAATTGGGCTGCTAAAGCCGTTTCATGTTCACTTATAATGACTGCCATATTTTTAAAGGTGTCCAGACACCTAATGTTACGGTTACCTTTTTGGTTAACAACCTTATATTTAGAGAAAATTTGTTCCTAATATCTTCATTTTCCAGACCAATGCAACTTCTTGATTTTTTTTTTTTTTGCAATGATCTTTACTGTTGTGTAGGCCTATACACCACTTAAGTTTTATTCAGATCCAGTACTGCAACAAGCTGTCTGTGGTGGCCAGTTTAATGTGGTTTCATTATTTACAAAATATGACAAACGGTCCAATCTTACTCTTTATGCACATGGACAAAAAAATATTATGCATTGTTTTGCCATTTCTAAATGAAATTGTTTTTTGAACGACAAAATATCACTTGTCAGTTATTTGTAAATTCATGGGTTTTGTCCCATGAATGGTATGGTATATTAGCATAGTTTTGCTTTATAGACAATGTACAAATAGCTTGTTATTTTCCCTGGAAGGCACTACAAATGTGTAGTTATAGGTATAATACTTGCCTTTGTAAAGTACTCAATAAACCTGTAAGATCATGATTAATACCAATATATCTGTGATTAAAATATTTTATATTGCATTGCTGCCATAAATGTCATCACAACAAAAGAATACTTAGAAAATTCAGAAACTAGGACACCATCTTGGGAACCGTTAACATTTTATGAATTGGAAATGCTCTAACCCTAATCTGGTATTCTGTCTAAGGATATTACAATTCACCCATGCAAAATTAAATGGATTTGTTGGTAGTCCCCTGGAAAGCTTGATCTTCCAAAAAAGGTTATTTCAAATGGAAATGCATTTACCATGTTAGAAACTATCCCAAAAAGTCATTTTTCTATTAATTGACAACTACGGGTTTTATGGGATTTGTGCGATTAATTACAAAGATGCATTTGCATCAAACACATTTACATGTATTCACAAGTCAAAATCTTTAATGAAATTGTTTATTTCTTAGATGACAAACCCCAGCAGAATGAATAGGTTGTACAAAATATCTTGGCACCTGAGAGTAAAAAAGACTTTTCATAGTATGGATAGAATACACTGAATTCCCCAGATTATTTGAACTGGTTTTAAATTGAAAACTGCTTTGTGATGCATGGTTGATGTCAAAGAACAACTTCCTTCTTGCAGCCCAATCATATCTTTCCTGGGTCCTCCTTGAGAGTAACGGTTCTGTTGAACACCAGCTGGGGAGGAAGAGGTGACAGATGAGAAGTGTTTTCCTCTACTGTATGTTCATCTTTTTGACAATTTAATGTTTCTGGAAATACCTTTTCAGATGTGCTATCAGGGTCCAGAGAAAAATAACCCACTCTTTCAAACTGAAATTTATCAAACACTTTGGCCTTGCCCACGGAACGATCCACCAAGGCACTTTCAATCACTGTTAAGGAATTCTAGGAATGAAAAAACAAAACAAAAAAACTTTATTAATCTTTTAAAAATGAAAAATGTCAGTTACACTTTAGCGTCCTTGTTACATTACATGTACTTACTATTGAAATAACTGTAAATTATGCATAATTATAAGCAACCAATCCTTTTCCCAAAAGTTACTTAATAATTGTAACCAAAATTTCTATATTATTGCATTCATTGCTTGCTATATGCAGTTGCATATAGCACAAAATCATTAGTGGTGGTTAGGTAATCACTTGGGGGCAGTTTCCGGGACAGAGATTAAGCCTAGTCCCAGAACAGCACAGTTGGTTTTAAATTAATCTTGTTTATTTTAGTTCAGACTCTATAATCCAGGTGTTAGTAATCTGTACTTAATCTGTTTCAGAAAGCCATTTTTTTAAGCCACAGGTGACTATTCTAGATTAAGGCCTACTCCTGGCTTAATTTAAACTCTGTCCGGGAAACCGCCCCTTAGAGTTTGCACTTTGTTGCATAGCTCATTTTAGTTTGTTGTAAACAAACTTTATTTAAAAATTCTAGTTTATCCTATATAATGTATTGCCTTACAGGGTTAATGTCACTCAGGAATCCAGCAGGCACTTCAGCTGGGTCCTCTGGGTGTTTATGGAGAAAACTACAGACAAAAAAATGAGAGTGAGGGTAAAACATACAGAGTCTGTCAAAAAGACGTGAGACATAAAATATTAAAATGAAATAAAAACCTGTGGTTTGTCAGCATACAAGGAAACTTACAGGCTTTCATACAGGCGCACTTCACACCGCAGTGGCTCGCTCACCCAATGAATGAATGCTTTGGGTTTCTCCCCAGAGTCTGAGCTGACACACGTCACCTCTAGCTCACACACTTTACCACAGTTATCCTGACAAGAGAAAAGACATTTAACTCTACAAAGCCTACTGTATTATATTTGATATGCAAATTTCTAAGGCCTCTAAATTATCAACATGATTAAAACTTTGCTGAGAAGCCTGTTGTACACAAACTTCTACATGCTTTTTGATCAATCAGCTTATTTTTTTTTTTAGCAACTAAAAGATTCTCAACAAAAACATATGCAAACTTTAAAAAAAAATTCATGCAAACTAAGTGGATCATGTGAGCTAAGTGAGTGGTGTTTCACCTTGATGACGCGCTGTACAGAGATGACGTATCCTGCATGTCTCAAGCCTACCGGCTGATCTGGAGTCAGGCGCTTATAGCCCTTCTCCATTACCTACAGCAAACACACAAAACAGCAAAAATGGTCACCTCTGCATATATGGGATGCTGGTTCAATTCAAAACAGATCCTCATATGAAATGATCTTAAAAACACCTCTCTAAAGTCACTCTGCTCAATAAAGATGGTCTTTGAGAAGGAAACCACGTGGCTGCCCTTGGCTTCATTGGCTGGGAAGTCTGGGACTCGAAGCTCCTTCTGAATAGGGGAAAAAAACAGATGAGTGATGCACTGCCGTTATGAGACTACGCTTCGCAGAAAAAAAGGACAAATTGATGCTAAATATGTGAGCTAATTAGTTCATAACTTAAAGTCATTTTGAAATATTTTTTTTTACATAAATGAATACTGTAACATTGCAGTGTTTTTTGTTTTGTTTTTGCAAGAGATATTTTCTATTTTGTAATGGACTGTTTTTTTATGCAAGCTTTTAGCTAAACTAGAGAGTTAAACAAATTATTTCATTTCCATCTGTTATTTAGTATTTGGCAAGTAGCCACATAATAATCATGATAATGTACCATCAGCCAGTCTGTGACGGAGACTCAGATGAACTCGTGTTGAGATCTATGTGCAGTTTATTATATAACTGGAGTTTCAAAAAACAAACAAACAGGCGTGGGTCGAAGCACCAGGATTAACAGCAACGTAGATAAAGCAGCAAACGTCATAACAGGCAGGTGGTCAGGGCTGGCAGCGAACAATCACAGAGTAATTCAAATCAAGGCAGAGTCAAAAGGCAGGCAGCAAGGGTCATAAGTCCAAAAACAGCAAGGGTCAAAACCAGACAAGATAAAGGACAAGGGAAAAACGCTCAGAAATGTCAACCGTGGCAAAACAAGACTTCGCACTGAGCTTGGCGTGCTCAGGGCTTAAATAGTCTGCGAAATGGAGTTCAGATACGCGTTTAATCAGTCCAGGTGTGTGGGTTGCTTGGAAATGTAAAAAAAACCCAAAAAAAAACAAAGTCCCTTTAAGACAAGTCATTTCACTCGGCGGCCATCTTTGAAACGCCTCTCGGCCGTGCAAGTACAGCTCCTATCTCTTTGAAAGGGTAAACATAAAATTCTCCAAACCTGAAACCACCAATAAAATCTGTCTCATAAATTTAGTTTCTAAACGCTCGAATCATGACAGAAAACGAAATTTTTCAGGCTGGATCAAGCTAATGCGCATGGGCAGTCTGACTGAACCGGAGCTTCTAACAGCAGCTGCAGTGACTTTACCCAGGGCTGGACTGGGACAAAAAAAAATTAGCCCAGGCATTTTGGCCTAGACTGGCCCACTATGATCATAAACACCACCCATCTTTGCACACCCTTGAATATGTATACCAACTCCTATTCCTTAAAACCACTAATGGCATGTAACGAGTGAGTAGGAATGAGTGAGAGTTAACAGATGAAATAACTCCAAAATTAAATGTATTAATACAATTGAACTATACCTCCACAGTGATGAATCCTAAAACAAGCTTTAAGCTGCATTGGCATAGCAATACCAGTGTTTCCCACAGGATTTTTAGTAAAACTGTGGTGGGTGAGCCTCAGGCCTTTTGGGGGGGTTCGGAGGCATGGCCCCCCGAAAGAAAAAATTGAGCATTTTAATGTAAAATTCATTAATCTGGAGCACTTTGAGAGTTAAGAGCTCCAACCCATATTCAGTGTGCAAATTGAACAAAGAAAAACTCTTAGTTGTGATATAGTGTTTCAGTCTACATTACACTACTACATACCGTATAGCCGAATATAAGACAAGGTTTTTGTCCTAAAAATAGACTGAAAAATGAGGGGTCGTCTTATATTCGAGTGGAGGAACCGATTGATAACCTTTTTCTCCCGCGCCGTCGAGCGCCGAGGAGAAAGAGGGTTTCAGACGCGCTGAATATGGCGCTTTCCATGACTTGGTCAGCTCGTCATGTACCTCCGGGAAGAAGGGGGTGGGTCTCTGCTCGCTTGTCTCCGTCCGCTCTGGCATCCTCTGTGAACGAATCGGTTACCTAACATAACCTCGGTTCTCTCTAGATGAGGGAACGAGTATTGCGTAAGCTAGCTTACGCTGCGGGAAAGATTCATCTTTTCTGAGAAATTGAAGCCTATAATTATCCTATAATTATCCTATAATTTTGTATCCATTGTCAACGCAGTTCAGCTGCAGCAGACCATGAGCAGGCTAGCTAGCAGCTCATTGGCTCGCTCACAGGGAACTGCTTAAGCCTA